GCCTGGGCAGGTCTGGGCAGGCATTGGCCTCTGGGGAGTCTTGAAGGCTGCCAAATGCAGGGACACGGATGGGGTCAGCTGGAAAGGTCAAAGTTGGGCCCAGGAAGACAGGAACTTTGTACTGCGTGAAGCAGCCAGGACCAGACTTCCTAGCCCAACGTGTGCCTGCTAAGCCCTTCAGCCGGCCGAGCCCCGTTGCCTGCCCATGGGGGACGGTCTCCCCTGCTCCGGGGCCTCTCCTCTCACCGTGCTCCCTTTTACCAGCAGCACCCTGCTTCTCTCTTCCCTCTCCTCCAGGAAGCCTTCCCAGACCAGTCACTGGGTCTTCCCCATCTCTCCTTCTCAGTGCACCTGAGGCCACCCTGGGCACACTATCGGTGCCTGGACCTGAGGTCACAAGGCCATTTAGCCAGCACTCACTGTAGGGCACTTAACACACACAGCAGCCTTCCTGTGATATAAGATAGTCGTCCTCCCCATGCCAGCTGGGAAACTGAGGGCCAGAGAGGTGAAGGGGCTAGCCCAAGATCCAAAGCACACGTGGGGACTTTCTTCCTGTCCATTCAGACAGTCATGTCCTCCGGCAGAGGCTGGGTGAGTGGAGAGGCAGGTGTCTTCTCAGTCCAGGAGATTAAGAATTCCCTGCCAGGCACAGTAGCATACACCTATAATCCCAATCCCAGCACTTTGGGAGGCCAAGACAGAAGGATCACTTGAGCCCAGGAGTTCAAGAGCAGCCTGGGCAACATAGCAAGACCCCATCTCTACAAAAAAAAAATTTTTTTTAATTAGCCAGGCATGGTGGTGAGCTACTGAGGAGGCTGAGGTGGGAGGATTGCTTGAACCCAGGAGTTGAAGGCTACAGTGAGCTATGATTATGCCACCGCACTCCAGCCTGGGAAATAGGGTGAGATTCTATCTCAAGAAAGGGAAGAAAAGGGCCAGGCATGGTGGCTCATGCCTGTAATCCTAGCACTTTGGGAGGCTGAGGCAGGCAGATCACCTGAGGCCAGGAGTTCAAGACCAGCCTGGCCAACACGGCAAAACTCCATCTCTACTAAAAATACAAAATAGCCACGCATGATGGTAGGTGCCAGTAATTCCAGCTGCTCGGGAGGCTGAGGCAGGAAAATCGCTTGGACCCGGGAGGCAGAGGTTGCGGTGAGCTGAGGGAGCGCCATTGCACTTCAGCCTGGGTGACAGAGCGAGACTTGGTCTCAAAAAAAAAAAAAAAAAAAAAAAAGGAAGAAAAAGAAAAAGAAAAAAAGGAATTCCTGATGTAAAAGACACAGAAAGACTGCCCTGGGAAGTAAGCTGGAAGAATTTCTTGCCTTGAAGGGACAACCCTCTCCAGCAGAGATGGCCCAGGACTGTGGCTCCTGCCCCTCCCCCACCTCACTTGCCCCTCTCCCCCAGGTGGGCTGGTGTGTCTGACCACCAGGACCAACTCGTCTAATCTTCAATACAAGGAGGCTCTGGAGGCCACCCTGGAGAGCTTGGAACGGGCTGGGGCATGGGAGTGTCTGGTGGCCCTGCCTGTGGACCGATGGGAGCTGGCTACCTCTGAGCTGGAGGTGGTACCCGGCACCTCTGCCAAGGATGGCTTCATCTCCGGCATCATCTACCTGTACCGAAAGCAGAAGGCAACCCAGGCTGAGGAAGTGAGATCCAGCCCCCAGCCCCCAGCTGTCCCCTGATTCTATGTGGCCTTAGTTGGGCCCTTCTGCTGGGCCTCCTCTGCCTCCCTTGTAAAATGGGACCGCCAAACCAACCCTGCCCCTCAGAAATGCCCTGCCTATTAAATGAGCTCCCAGAAGGGGCGGAAGGACTCATGGCTCTGCAGTTCTCCAGCCCCAGAAAAGAGTGACATCAGGCGGGGCGCGGTGGCTCACACCTGTAATCTCAGCACTTTGGGAGGCCGAGGGGGGCGGATCACCTGAGGTTGGGAGTTGCAGACCAGCCCGACCAACATGGAGAAACCCCATCTCTACTTAAAAAAATACAAAATCAGCCTGGCATGGTGGTGGCGCATGCCTGTAGTCCCAGCTACTCGGGAGGCTGAGGCAGGAGAATTTCTTGAACCCAGGAAGTGGAGGTTGCAGTGAGCCGAGATCACGCCATTGCACTTCAGCCTGGGCAACAAGAGCAAAAAAAGAGTGACATCAGTTCCTGTGGGTTCCAGAATCAAGAAGTGACAGGTTGTGGTAGCTGAAGCCGTAATCCCAACACTTTGGGAGGCCAACACAGGAGGATTACTTGAGATCAGGATTTCGAGACCAGCCTGGGCAACATAGTGAGACCCCCCATCTCAAAGAAAAATTATAAAAATTAGCACTTTGGGAGGCCGAGGCGGGAGGATCACTTGAGGTCAAGAGTTCAAGACCAACCCAGCCAACATAGTAAAACCCTGTTTCTACTGAAAACACACAAATTAGTTGGGCATGGTAGCACATACCTGTAATCCCAGCTACTTGGGAGGCTTACAGGAGAATTGCTTGAACCCAGTGGGGGTGGAGGTTGCAGTGAGCTGAGTTCACGCCACTGGGTGACAGAGCAGGACTCTGTCTCAAAAGACAAAAGAAATTGTAAAAATTAGCCAGGTGCCATGGGTGCATGCCTGTAGTCCCAGCTACTCAGGAGGCTGAGCGGGGAGGATTGCTTGAGCCTGGAGGTCGTGGCTGCGGTTATGGTGAGCTTTGATCATGCCACTGCACTCCAGCCTGGGGACAAGACCCTGACTGTAAAAAAAGAAAAGAGGCCTGGCTCGGTGGCTCACGCCTGTAATCCCAGGACTTTGAGAGGATGAGGAGGGCAGATAAGGTCAGGAGTTCGAGACCAGCCTTACCAACATGATGAAACCCCATCTCTACTAAAAATACAAAAATTAGCCAGTCATGGTGGCGGGTGCCTGTAATCCCAGCTAGTCAAGAGGCTGAGGCAGGAGAGTTGCTTGAACCTGGGTGGCGGAGGTTGCAGTGAGCCAAGATCGCGCCACTGCACTCCAGTCTGAACAGCAGAGCAAAAACTCTCTCTGTCGGCCGGGCGCGGTGGCTCAAGCCTGTAATCCCAGCACTTTGGGAGGCCGAGGCGGGTGGATCACAAGGTCGAGAGATCGAGACCAACCTGGTCAACATGGTGAAACCCCATCTCTACTAAAAATATAAAAAATTAGCTGGGCATGGTGGCGCGTACCTGTAATCCCAGCTATTCAGGAGGCTGAGGCAGGAGAATTGCCTGAACCCAGGAGGCGGAGGTTGCGGTGAGCCGAGATCGCGCCATTGCACTCCAGCCTGGGTAACAAGAGCGAAACTCCGTCTCAAAAAAAAAAAACAAAAAAAAAACAAAAAAAAACAAAAAAACAAAACTCTCTCTCTCAAAAAAAAAAAAAAAGTGACAGAGAAAAAAAAAAAAGAAGTGACAGAGAAGACCCCTCCATGAGCCAGGTATAATGGGTCACTCCTTCCAGGGTGCTGGGCCCGCTCACCTCTTGTCACCTTTATTGACAAGAAAATGAAGCCTGAGCCACCTTGGAACATGCTGTACACAACGGTGTCTGAGCAGGGACCCAAGGCCGAGGCCAAGTCCAAGGGGTTGCTGAGACCCAAGCCCTGTCCTGGACAGATCCCCCACACAAATTCAGAGCCCAAAGTCCCAAGCTGTAGGTCTGGGGCTGGGCCACACTCCATTTCCTCATCCATCAAGGGATCAGAATGCCAAGCTCTGGGTGTGGCTTGGAGGCTGCCCTTCAGGTGAAAGGCATTTGGTGACCAGCAGCACCTGGGGGTGGGGTGTCAACAGGGCTGATGATAATTTCTCCATCAGAGACAGTGGGAAGACTTCACGGGGGAGGAGGCTCCGAGCTGGGCTTTCAGGACAAGCAGGATCCAGAAGGGCGGAGAAGGGAAAAGGGACATTCCAGGCGTAGGGACAGCCTGTGCAAAGGCTGGGAAGTGGGGCCTGTAGGGTGACCCAGCAAAGAGGAACAGACCAGCTTGGCTTCCCAGATAAAGCTGGAATAACAGCGGGGTTGGGGCGGCAGGTGGCCCATACCTCGGAGCTGGGAGCCCATGTGGCTTCCCTTCTGGGGTCCCCAAACCTTCACTGGGGTCCCGGGCATACACTGTTTCCTGTATATGAGTTTACCCTCCAACCAAAGAAGGGCCCCCCACCTGGACAAGGTGATGCCTTGAGGGCCCACTTCAATGTTTTGTTTTGTTTTGTTTTGTTTTGTTTTTTGAGACCTTGTCTTGCTCTGTCCCCCAGGCTGGAGCGCAGTATCATGATCTCGACTCACGGCAGCCTCCGCCTCCCAGGTTCAAGCAAGTCTCCTGTCTCAGCCTCCTGAGTAGCTGGGACTACAGGCACCCGCCACCACGCCCAGCTAATTTTTGTATTTTTAGTAGAGATGGGGTTTCACCGTGTTGCCCAGGATGGTCTCAAACTCCTGACCTTGAGATCCACTTGCCTCAGCCTCCCAAAGGCCCATTTTAATGTCTTTTTTTTTTTTGTTTTCAATTTCTTTCTTAAGTTGATATCTTGGAGGTCCATTTTGTTGGGTTTTTTTTTTCTTTAAGACGTAAGTTCTCGATCTGTCACCCAGGTTGGAGTGCAGTGGTGTGATCAAAGCTCACTGCAGCCTCAAACTCCTGGGCTCAAGCAACCTCCTACCTCGAGCTCCCCAAGTCAGGGATTACAGGCACCATGCCCAGCTCATGTTTTTAACTTTTTGTAGGGATGGGGCCACTGTGTTGCCCAGGCTGGTCTCAGACTCCCGCCTCAAGCGATCCTCCCACCTTCACCTTTTAAAATGCTGGGATTACAGGTGCACACCACCACACCCGGCCCAGCATCAATTTCTCCCCATTCCCTGGATCTTGTTTTTTTTTTTAAGTATTCATGTCCGGGCCTACAGCCCAGTGGTCCTGCTCCTGACCCCCTGCCCAGGCCTCCAGCCTTGCCCCACCGACCTCCACGGCAGAAATCGGAGACAATACGACTTATTCCTGTGCACAGGTCCCGTTTATTGTAGAAAATAATAATAATTACGGTGGTGAATAGATCTTCTTAAATTACAAAACAGAAATGACAAAGAAGGCGGAGGAAAAACCCCGGGACTTCTGAGGGTGAAGCTGTCCCCTCCTCCCTGCCACCCTCCCAGGCCGGTTAGTGTCCTTGGCAGGGGCAGAGGACTCAGAGGGGATCAGTCTCTAGAGGCCCAGGGGCCCTGGGCTGAAGTGGGTGAAGCAGAGTCCTGAGGCCGCAGAGCTGGGCCCCCTCCCCCACCACTGCCCAAACCTGTTTACATTGCCTTCACCCCTCCCCTCCAAACCCGTCCATCCACTCTGCACTGCCCAGGCAGGTGGGTGGGCGGGGCCTCAGCCGTACTCCTGGGCGCCGGTTCGGGTGAGCAAGCCGCAGTCCCAGAGGTGACATCAAGGCCTGTCCGGAAACAGAGGAGACACCAGGGAGACAGCTGGAGTCTCAGGAGATGCAGGCAGACAGGGTGGGGAACCGGTAAATGGGAACAATGGCCAACGCCGATGCGGGCAGAGCCCAAAGTAGCCAGCAGGAGCCAGCTCCCCACTCCACCGCCACACCCTGTCACCTCCGTCCCTCCGCAATATCCAGAGCAGGGTGGCATCTGTGTTTGCTAGCAGAAGGCGGCCTTGGGAAGGTGTCCAAGTGGGCCGGAGAGGTTGCAGGAGGTGGCTCTCCTACCTAGCTCAGTCTCTGTTTGCCCAGTCCCCAGCCCCCAGCAGCCATGGCCCACGGCAGGGCCCTCCTGGGGTCACAGCCTGCACTGAGCTCAGTCCAGGGAAGAGCAAAGGCAAGAGGGACAGAGCGGAGCCGCGGCGCGTTACACGTAGTTGCTGGTGGCGGCGGAGCGGGCGGCAGAGTACTTGGCGGAGTAAGGCTTGTCCGTGCGGGGTGGGCAGTTGCAGCAGAGCAGCCCCCCGCCAAGCAGCAGGAGGGCCGAGGCGGCCCAGCCGATGTAGAGCGAGGCGCCCATCTCCCGCTTCTGCCCGGAGGCCACTAGAGGGTTGTAGAAGTCTCGGATGATGTTGTGGGCCGTCCAGGACGCGGGCACTATCACCAGCAGGCCGGCCAGCAGGAACACCACGCCCGCCACGATCATGGTCTTGGCCTTGGCGCTCTCGTCCTCCAGGCAGTTGGTGCACTTGCCGCCCACCACGGACAGCAGCACGCCCAGCGCGGCCACGATGATGCAGATGATGACCAGGGCGCGGGCCGCCTGCAGGTCCTGCGGCAGCGCCAGCAGCGAGTCGTACACCTTGCACTGCATCTGGCCGGTGCTCTGCACCACGCAGTTCATCCACAGGCCCTCCCAGATGGTCTGCGACGTGACGATGTTGCTGCCGATGAAGGCCGTCACGCGCCACATGGGCAGCGCGCAGCACAGCATGGCGGCCAGCCAGCCCAGCACGGCCAGCGCGATGCCCGCCACCTGCAGCCCCATGGAGGCCATCGCGGAGGTCGGGGACCTGGAAGGCTGCGGGGATCCGGCTGGGGGGACTGGAGGATTCTAAGACCTTGGCAGAGAGCGCCTTTGCTCCGAGAGTCCTGATGCGCAACCCAGCAAGTGCGAGCAGACCAGTTCCTTCCTGCCAACAGCTGCCAGCGCGCTCTCTCCCGACAGGTTGAGTGGTTATATGGCTCTGGTGGAGGGGCGGGGGCAGAGGGAGGGGTTTTCCTCACTGGGGCCTCCCCTTGACCAGTTCCTCTGGATTCCTGAACCCAGGCCAACAAAGGCACTTTTGAAGCCCCAACCCTGGGCCCCTGAGTCACTATCCTGTCTCAGAAGAAACTACCCTCTCCCCTTCCTCAAAGCCCGGGCTGAGATCAGCCGGCAGACAGACACTGAGTCATAACCCAGGGACACCTGGGTGTTCACAGGGCAAGGTCGGGGACAGCCAGACCCAGCCAGGTTTGGGAGCCTGAAGACCAGGGTCCCCACAGGCCAGTGCTTCCTTATTCCAGGCTTAGGTGGGAGGACAGGGTAGGGACCCTCAGGGAGAGAATTTGAGGACGAAGTCTTGGAAACGACACGAGAAACCCCACCTTGATTATTGTCTTATCTGATCAGTTTCATCACGGGCAGTTTCATTACTGTTGTGATTCTGATCATTAGTGCATCTGACCTCACCAGCAATGTTCTCGGCATGGGTCAGATAAAGTTACATGTAGGGGAGCGAGGAGCCGGGAGGCCGGGACCCCTGGGTTCATCACTCACTCTCAGCCATCTTTATCGCCCGGCTTTTCTGCTTGGCTAGAAGAGGGGTCTTGGACACGATACACCTTCAGCCAAAAAGACACAGGTGCCTGTCCCCTCTCCACCTCCGCAGAAGTTCGAGCTGGTGGGCTCTGTTCCTGCCAGGGTCCAGCCTGCTTGCCCAGAACTGGGCGGGGCCGGTCACCAGCAAGCCATGCACTAGATCCTGGAGCCATCATCAGCCCCGTAAATGGGTGTTTACCCTGTGGAGACACAAAACCTTCTGATAAAGCCAGAGTGGGTGCAAAGTCCCAGGAGATTGCAAAGGGAAGGGGAACTCTTTGGGGCGGAGGCGGTGGTGCTGGGGGATCTTGACTGCAAAGGGGCGCTGCGTGGCACAATTCCAGGGGGTGCTGGATTCCTGGATTATGCTACAGGAGGCATCAGGAACAGGTCCCCCAGAGAAATTCTGCAAGGCAGCCAGGTGCAGTGTAATCCCAGCACTTTGGGAGGCCGAGGTGGGTGGGTCATGAGATCAAGAGTTCAAGACTAGCCTGACCAATATGGTGAAACCTCGTCTCTACTAAACATATCAAAAAAAAAAAAAAAAAAAAAATTAGCCAGGCCTAGTGGTGTGCGCCTGTAATCCCAGCTACTCAGGAGGCTGAGGCAGGAGAATTGCTTAAACCCGGGAGGTGGAGGTTGCAGCGAGCCAAGATCTTGCCATGGCACTCCAGCCTGGGCAACCGAGTGAGGCTCCGTCTCAAAAAAAAAAAAAAAAAAACAAGAAAGAAAAAGAAAAGTTCTGCAAGGCTAAGGGAAGACATTCCGGTGGAGGGTACAAAGACCGAGGGTGGGCCAGGGTGGACACAGGCAGCTCATTCTGGGAACAGAGCCCCCAGGAGAGACGTGCCAGGCAGCGAGACTAGTGAAGGAGGACATTTGGGCAGAGGTGGCAAGGTGGGGAAAGGCAGCTCGTTCTGGGAACAGCGAGGAATCCAGTTTAACCAGAGATTGGGCTGGGGAGGGAGGGGCCAGAGTAAAAGGGTCAGAAATGTCTGCCTGGAATGACACAAGCCCTGGGAGATAGGAGGAGGGTGGAGGGTCTAGATCCGGAAGAGCTTCCTTCAAGGCAGACCACTGAGGGGACCTCCGGGAAGGGGTCACCATAGAAGTGATCGAGAGTGTCTGGGGCTCATCCCAGCCACACCGAGGGAGCCTCTCCTCATCTCCCATGTGGTCATTTTGTATCTGTTCCCCGCCGTGCTGGGAGCGCTGCAGGGGCCACGGCTCCAGTGTGTCCCTGAGCTGCCATCATTGTCCAGCACTGGTGGCTGTGTGCCCAGTTCTGACCCAGAAGGCTGCCTAGTCCTTGAGGCAAAGTAATCAAGGGTGCCATGGTTTGGGTTGAAATGATTAGTGAGCATACGTGGGAGGTATCCGAGATAGGTCTGTTGACTGGTAATGGAGCAGCGGGCAGCCTGGGACAGCCTGGCATGAGCCGCCCATGTTACAGAGGGAAGCTGAGGCCTGGTGTTGTGGTTGACTCTACACACATCTATCTCCCCTGCTAGGCTGGTGCTCCTGGAAGGCAAGAACAATGCCTTCTGCAACCTCCACGCCCAGCACCAGGCTTCATACGTCACAGACGCCCAAGAAATGTTCGGGGCGTTCATGCCTTGTAATCCCAGCACTTGGGGAGGCCGGGGCGAGAGGATCGCTTGAGGCCAGAAGTTTGAGGCTGCCGTAAGCTATAATAGAACCATTGCACTGCAGCCTTGGGCAACGGAGCGAGACTCTGTCTCAAAAGAAAAGAAAAAAGAAATGCTTGATGGAAAGAATGAGGGATTCTCCAGTTTCGAATCACACTCCCACACCTTCACTTCCATCAGAGGCACACTCCCCAAAGCAAACAGGGATGGTTTCTGCCTGGACCACGCCTCCCTGGGGCTTTCTTTACAAGGCCTTCCCCCCGCCCCCCATCATGATTGTCAATAATTGCTTTCCCCGAGATGACCTCATCACAGCCTCCTTTATTGTCTTGGCTTAAAGGAGTGAACTGAAGCCCGGAGAGGGCCAGGGGCTTGCCCAGGACCGCTGGGCACTCCAGCATGGGTGTCTCCTTCCCCAGTGCCTCTTACCTGTGGTCCCAGCCAGGTAGCCTTTAGCAAGCTTTCTGAGTAGACACGTGACTTGGCCAGATGGCCAGCACCCGCCCCCCCGCCACGCTTCCTGCCCTTGCTTTCCTGGGACACAGCCAGCTGGCACTTGGAGAAGCAGCCGTGGGGGAGGGGCAGCAGGCAAGCCCTAGAAGAGTTCACCTGTGGTCCTACAGAAGTGACTAAGAAGCTGTCCTTCCTGCCAGCCGCAGCCACGCGTATCCAGAGCAGAGAGCAGGGAGGGGTTGGGAGTTTGGGGCAGGGCAGGTGCAGGAGGGGCCCCAGGCAAACATAGGGCAGGGGAAGAAGCTCGGAGCTCACGGGGGAAGGGAGGGCTAAGGGACCCAGGTGTGAAGGGCAGGCCAGAAGGATGTCCTTGGGGATCAGCCAGTAGCTCGGCACTGGAGCTGGAGAGAGATTTGTTGATGCCTCGCTGATGCCAAGAGAGGTTGGCTGAGTCCCACCCACCTGCCACAGGAAAAACACCAGCAAAGGCAAGATGCTTCTCGCCACTCTGCTCTGGCTCCCAGAGCCCTAAGGCAGAGGAAAACAAGGAAGTGGCCCTCCAGGCCTGCATCTGGCACTCTCCCCAAAGCCCTGAGACCTTTTACAGGGACACCTTATAAGGCATCTGCCATTCGCCACCTTTGTTTAGGGGTCAGAGAGTGCAGAGTTGGTTGGCACCGTTGCTTTTCTTTTTTTGTGGGGTGGGAGTGGGGGTTGAGATAGAGTCTCACTCTGCTGACCGGGCTGGAGCGCAGTGGCAAGACCTCGGCTCACTGCAGCCTCCTCCTCCTGAGTTCAGGTGATTCTCCGGCCTCAGCCTCCCGAGTAGCCGGGACTACAGGCGTGTGCCACCACGCCCGGCTAAATTTTGTATTTTTAGTAGAGATGGGGTTTCATCATGTTGTCCAGGCTGGTCTCGAACTCCTGATCTCATGATCTGCCCGCCTCAGCCTCCGAAAGTGCTGGGGTTCCAGGCGTGAGCCACCGCGCCCGGCCCCATGTGCTGGTTATTGTCAAGAATAAAAACCACCAGGTCAGCTCACCCATCTCTGCCCACCCCGTAAACCATCTTTCCAGCCCTGGGCCCGTCCCTGAGCCACAGCTCCTTTGTAAAAACTGAGGATGTTGCACCCCCTCCCCTCTCAGAAACAAAAACAGACAAGAAATGAGATGGGGATGTAAAAATGCTTCGGGAGCCAAAAGTTGAGGATGAAAGCTGGGAAGCTGTGGATCCGGAAGCCATCCTCCCAGCCCTGGGGCCTTGGATAACACAATTCCATCTCTGAGCCCCAGCTTCCTCCCTCGTGCCGTGAGAACACTGGGACCCACTCCCCAAGCTGAGACACGCGTGAAATGAGAGAGGATGTAAAAAATGCTTCGTGAACCGGAGTTTAGTACCAAGAGGAGGGAGCAAAGTTTTGGACGCAAAGTGACTGCTGCACAGCTCGGGTCTGATCATGCCAGGAGGGAGCTAGGACTTTGAGACCCCTGTCCCCAAAGTTCCAGGGGCTTGGCCAAGTCCCCGGTTTTTTTTTTTGTTTGTTTTTTTTCTTTCTTTCTTTCTTTCTTTTTTGAGACGGAATATCGCTCTGTCATCCAGGCTGTAGTGCAGCGGTATGATCTCGGCTCACTGCAACCTCCGCCTCCTGGGTTCAAGCAGTTCTCCTGCCTCGGCCTCCCAAGTAGCTGGGATTACAGGCGCCTGCCGCCATGCCCAGCTCATTTTTGTATTTTTAGTAGAGACGGGGTTTTGCCATGTTGGCCAGGCTGGTCTCAAACTTCTGACCTGAAGTGACCCGCCTCAGCCTCCCAAAGTGCTGGGATTACAGGCATGAGCCACCTCGCCTGGCCTCAAGTCCCCAATTGTAACACACACACATGCAGCTTGTCCTGAGCTCAGCTCGCTGGGAGTCCTTAGCAGAGACAAAAACAAAGTCTGCCTTCTAACCCCAAGCTCCAGCCGCCTTCTGAGCCCGAGGGCGGTGATGGAAGCCTGTCCTGAAGACAAAAATATCTCAGTGGGCTGAGCATGCTAGCTCCCAGGGTTTACATTCTATGTCTTCTCAGGAACAGGAAAACTAAAGCCAGGGACACCAGTGTAAATTTAAATGATGCCTAGACCAGGCACAGTAGCTCACGCCCATAATCTCAGCACTTCGGGAGGCAGAGGCAGGCGGATCACGAAGTCAAGAGATCAAGACCATCCTGGCTAACACAGTGAAACCCCATCTCTACTAAAAATACAAAAAAATTAGCCGGGCGTGGTGGTGTGTGTCTGTAATCCCAGTTACTCAGAAGGCTGAAGCAGGAGAGTCGCTTGAACCCGGGAGGCAGAGATTGCATTGAACCGAGATGTCGCCACTGCACCCCAGCCTGGGCAACAGAGCGAGGCTTGTCTCAAAAAATTAAAATAAGCCGGGCGCGGTGGCTCAAGCCTGTAATCCCAGCACTTTGGGAGGCCGAGGTGGGTGGATCACGAGGTCAAGAGATCGAGACCATCCTGGTCAACATGGTGAAACCCCGTCTCTACTAAAAATACAAAAAAATTAGCTGGGCATGGTGGCACGTGCTTGTAATCCCAGCTACTCAGGAGGCTGAGGCAGGAGAATTGCCTGAACCCAGGAGGCGGAGGTTGCGGTGAGCCGAGATCACGCCATTGAACTCCAGCCTGGGTAACAAGAGTGAAACTCCGTCTCAAAAAAAAAAAAAAAAAAAAATTAAAATAAATAAATAAAGGATGGATTTTTTTTTTTTTCTTTACTCAACAAGATCCAATTGCTTTCTGAAGTCCTTGGACTCAGATTGGAGGCGTGGCACCGGCTGAAATGGGGAGTCCCTGGCTCTCAGCCTGGCACCCCACACCAGCGAGACCGTCCACCCCCTCAGGCTGGAGCTGGGTGACGGCAGGCCTGGCTGCCCATCTGGCCAGACTGGCTCAGTGGGTGCTGCCCGTAGGCTGGGCCCCACGTGGGCTGAGGGTGGGGGTGGTGGCCACATCTGGGGGTGCTTCAGAGGAAAAGAGGAAAGACCACACCTCTGTCTCCTGGCAGAGTCCCAGGGTCTGGCACTTCTGGTGGCAGGGATGGGGAGAGGGGCAGAGCAAGGCGGGGAGAATCAGTGAGAGAGCTTAGCTAGACTCAGAGGAGACGGCTGTGTGAAGGGAGGGAGGCTTACCCAGGGCTTAGGACTGAGAGACCCTTTGTTAAATTCCCTTCCCCCAAATCGGTGCATCAATTTCGGTTTATGTCTGTCACTTTCAAACAGCCTGGCCGGGCATGGTGGCTTATGCCTCTAATCCCAAAACTTTCAGAGGCTTGAGGCCAGGAATTCGAGACCTGCCTGGGCAACATAGTGAGACCCTATTTCTATTTTTTTTTTTTAATTTTTGTTTTTAATTAACCTGGCATGGTGGCATACGCCTGTAATCTCAGCTGCTCGGAGGCTCAGACAGGAGGATCACTTAAGCCCAGGAGTTGGAGGCTACAGTGAGTCATGATCATGCCACTGCACTCCAACCTGGGTGACAGAGCAAGACCTCCTCTCTAATAAATAAATAGCAAGCCCCGTATTTACCATGACCTTCTGCATTCCCACCATTCTACGACTCAGCTGTCCAACCCTTCACAGGTCACTCCCCCACTTCACACAGTGATCCATCCAGGCCCCAGGCGTAGACCCGCCCTCCCACCCACCCACCTGCTCCCCCCAACTCAATTCAGGGCAGCCCTGTCTCTACCTGCCTTTACTTCAATTTCCCAGAGGCAGGGGAGGGAGGGGACCTGAGGGCTGAGGAATTCCTGAAGACCCTGTAATCCGATGGTGGAGTCAACCCTCCCCAGCCCCACCCCTCCCACTCCCCATCCAGGACAGCCTCCTCCTGCCAGGCGCCTCTGCCTTGGCCTCTCAGGAAGCAAGCCAACCAGCAACACTTTTTCTCTCTTTTTTTTTTTGCAGGCTGGAGTGCAATGGTACAATCTTGGCTCACGGCAACCTCTGCCTCCTGGGTTCAAGCGATTCTCCTGCCTCAGCCTCCCGAGTAGCTGGGATGACAGGTGTACACCACCACACCTGACTAACTTTTGTATTTTTAGTAGAGACGAAGTTTCACCATGTTGGGCAGGCTGGTCTCAAACTCCTGACCTCATGATCTGCCCACTTCGGCCTCCCAAAGTGGTGGAGGCGTGAGCCACTGCGCCCGGCCAGCGAACCATTTTTTGAGCACCTACTCTGGAACCAGGCACTATGCTAAGTGCCTTTGAAAAACATTGAATAGCAGGGTACCATTTCTTCTCACTGCTAAATAGTGCAGGGCATTCATTGGCAGGGGCATTCACTGCCATTCTCTTGTCGGTTTTTTTTTTTTTTTTTTTAAGAGATGGAGTATCCGGCCGGGCGCGGTGGCTCAAGCCTGTAATCCCAGCACTTTGGGAGGCCAAGGCAGGTGGATCACGAGGTCAAGAGATCGAGACCATCCTGGTCAACATGGTGAAACCCTGTCTCTACTAAAAATACAAAAATTAGCTGGGCATGGTGGCGCGTGCCTGTAATCCCAGCTACTCAGGAGGCTGAGGCAGGAGAATTGCCTGAACCCAGGAGGCGGAGGTTGCGGTGAGCCGAGATCGCGCCATTGCACTCCAGCCTGAGTGAAAAAAAAAAAAAAGAGATGGAGTATTCAAGTCATGGCACCAAAAAAAAAAAAAAAGAAAGAAAGAAAAAAAAAAAAAGATGGAGTCTTGCTCTGTCACCCAGGCTGGAGTGCAGTGGCACAATCGTAAGTCACTGCAGCGGCCTTGAAACTCCTGGGCTCAAGCAAACCTCCACCTTCAGCCTTCAGAGTACCTGGGACTATGGGTGTGCACCATCGCACTCAGCTAACTTTCTGTTTTTTTGTAGAGACAGGGTCTCCCTATGTTACCCAGGCTGGTCTCTAACTCCTGGCTTCAGGTGATCCTCCAGCCTCCCAAAGTGCTGGGAATGTAGGGATGAGCCACCAGGCCCAGCCCATTCCCATTTTAGAGATGAGAAAACTAAGGCTCTGGGAGCTGATGTGATATTCCAGGGCCACCAGAATAATGGCAAGAGTGGCATCCACACCCTACCCGATGTCTGATTCTGGGGCTCATCTTCTACCTCTACTCTCCTATTTATTATTTCCCATCTTTTTTTATGCCTTCATTCTTTCTGGAAAGACATGCTGAGCGCCTGCACTGGGCCAGGCTCAGGGCTAGGCGTGGACCTCATCACGGTGTACTCAGCCCATCCTGAATTTAAATAAACAGCTCCCACGCAGGGAAACCAGCTCTGTGTGAATTCTGGAGCGGGAAATATCAAGGCTACCTGGGGCACCCCAGGCAGTCTTCCTGGAGGAAGTGGCAAGTGGAAAGGAAACCAGAAGAATGAGTAAGAGCTTAGAGACCTATGAAGAGGAGAGAGCTCTCCCAAAAGGTGAGTAGCAGGGACAAAAATAGGGGTGTGTTGGGGGAGGAAGTATCTGGAAAAGTGAACTTGAGGGGTGGAAAGCCGGCAGGTGAGGGAGCTAGGGCTGGAAAATACATTGGGAGCATCAGCGTGGGCATCGAGGGCGCGACCCAGGAGCTTCGGTTAATTGGAGGGAGAGTCAGGAGGGCGGCCTTGCTGTGGGCTGGGTGATGAAGGACAGGGGAGGCGGGGCTTCACAGGGAGGGCATCCCTGACTCAGGACCAGCCAGGACTCCCAGAGAGGCCCCCCCCCCCGCCCGGTCCCAGGCCAGGACAGGCCTTGCCTCCAGTAGGCAGAGCAAGAGGCTGGGACCATCCTATCCTGCTTCCTCTTGGAAGATCAGAGAATGGCAGAACCCAGCACCTGGGGCCGGACACACCCCTGATGACGACGGTTTACAGAGAATCTGTCTGCTTCTGTGACACACCAACAGGCTGAGAGAAACCTGCCCTGAGTCAGCAGTGACAAGCCAGGGACAAAACCCAGGAGCCGGGATCATCAGCACCATCCCGCTCCATTTCCAGGTGACTCAGAGATCATATTGCTCTTCACTCCCGGCACAGCGGCCCCAGGCCTGGCCTGTCTCCTGCCTCGGGTCCCCCACCCGGTCTCTCCCATGTCTCCCAGCATGGATGAGCGGACACCGCCCACGCCCTCTCCTGCCACACACACACACATACACTAATCTCTTGCCTTTTCAGGGCCCAGGAAGTCCAGCTGCCACGTCTTTGCCCTATTGCCAGTACACCTACGGACCCAGCCCTGCCAGAACCCTCATTCCCTGCCAGGTCCCCTGGCTGCATCATATCAGGAAGGGTACAACCACATCTGAACTGTCCCATCCCCTGGCAGGTGGCGGGGTGGGGCCAGGAACAGCCACACTGGTGATTAGGTTTGAGCTTTGTAATTTTTCAATTTTTTTTTTTTTTTTTGAGGTAGTCTCACTCCGTCACACAGGCTGCGGTGCAATGGTATGATCTCAGCTCACCGCAGCCTCCGCCTCCCAGGTTCAAGCAATCCTCCTGCCTCAGCCTCCAGAGTAGCTAGGATTATAGGCAGGGACCACAACTGGCTAATTTTTGTATGTTTAGTAAAGACAGGGTTTCACAATGTTGGACAGGCTGGTCTTGAACTCCTGACCTCAAGTGATCCACCTGCCTTGGCCTCCCAAAGTGCTGGGATGACAGTCATGAGCCACCACGCTTGACTCAATGCTCTTTTTATATCCGGGCTTATGCATCGTGGCTTGAACGTTTGAAGCGTGCCTGAGTGCCCACCCACAGCATCAGCTCTGCCCTCTTCTCCTCCCCTCTCCCTCCCTTTATGCTTTCTTGCTTCTCTCCAGCTGAGCAAGGGGAGTGTGGATGCCCCAGGGCTTCCCAGCTGCCACCCAGTTGGTGTCACTACGCCTCAGCATCAGTCTCGATCCACGTCCCCATGCTCTCCTCACCCACCTCCATGCAACGAGCATACATGTTTATTTTCTGTCAATTTCATTCCAATTCTTTTGCCAGTCTCAGCAGGCTGGCAGGGAACACACAGTCAGTCCTTCCTGTAGCTCTCTCTCTGATCTGAATATATGTGGTCCCAGGACATCAAGAAGGGAAGACCCCCCACGTTTGTCCCATCAGCATCGCCAAGCTTTGGCTGCTATAAAAACCTCCAGGCACCTGAACAACATGGTGAAACCCCATCTCTACTAAAAACACAAAAATTGGCTGGGCATGGTGGTGGGCACCTGTAATCCCAGCTACTCAGGAGGCTGAGGCAGGGGAATCGCTTGAATCTGGGAGGCAGAGGTTGCAGCAGGCTGAGATCGCACCACTGCACTCCAGCCTGGGTGACAGAGCGAGACTCTGTCTGAAAAACAAAAAGCATGGAATTTTACCTTAATGAACCAGCTAAGAGTACTCCATCTCAAACAAACCAACCAACCAACCCTCCAGGCTTCCGTCTGTGTGGTCTCTTCAGGGCCTGGGGCTCAGTGGCCTTGCAGCCACACTGAAGAATCAGAAATCACTGCTAGGACCAGGCGAGGCCGCTCACTCCTGTAACCCCGGCACTTTGAGAGGCTCAGGCAGGTGGGTCACTTGAGGTCAGGAGGTCAAAACCAGCCTGGCCAACATGTCAAAACTGAGCCTCTAGTGAAAGTAGGAAAGTGAGGTGGGCATGGTGGCGCACGCCTGTAATCCCAGCTACTTGGGAGGCTGAGGTGGGAGAACTGGCTTGAACCCAGAAGGCGAAGGTGGCAGTGAGTCGAGATCGGGCCACTGTGCTCCAGCCTGGGAGACAGAAGGAGACTCCGTCCCAAAATAAAATAAAATAGTTCTTATGGGGGTCTTTGTGAATAAAAAGAAAATAAAATGGAGGCCAGGTGCACACGCCTGTCATCCCAGCACTTTGGGAGGCCAGGTTGGGCGGATCACCTGAGGTCAAGAGTTCAAGACCAGCCTGACCAACATGGTGAAACCCTGTCTCTACTAAAAATACAAAAATTAGTTGGGCATGGTGGTGGGTACCTGTAATCCCAGCTACTCAGGAGGTTGAGGCAGGAGAATCACTTGAACCCGGGAGGCGGAGGTTGCAGTGAGCCGAGATCACACCACTGCACTCCAGCCTGGAGACAGAGCGAGACTGTCTCCAAAAAAAAAGAAAGCTGACAAACACTCTGGGTGAGGTGGCTCACGCCTGTAATCCCAGCACTTTGGGAGACCAAGGCGGGTGGATCATGAGGTCAGGAGATCGAGACCATTCTGGCCAACATGGTGAAACCCCGTCTCTACTAAAATACAAAAAATTAGCTGGGCATGGTAGCTCGTGCCTGTAATCCCAGCTACTCAGGAGGCTGAGGCAGGAGAATCGCTTGAACCCGGGAGGCGGAGGTTGCAGTGAACAGAGATCTCGCCACTGCACTCCAGCCTGGGTGACAGAGTGAGACTCCATCTCAAAAAAGAAAAGAGAAAGAAAGAAAGAAAGAAAGCTAACAAACACTGCCCCAGCCAGGAGATCAAAGTCAACATCAGTAGTCATGTATCATGTTATCTATACTCGTGATAGAAGGTAAAGCGAATGGCACTTTACCTGTGATCTTTCTCCTAAAAACCCATAATCCTAATCTAATCATGAGAAAAACATTAGACCAAATACCAAACCAGGAGCATCTGCAATATAGCTGACCAGCACTCCTTTTTTTTTTTTTTTTTAAGATGAGGTTTCTCCATGTTGGCCAGGCTGGTCTCAAACTCCTGACCTCAGGTGAACCGCCCACCTCGACCTCCCAAAGTGCTGGGATTACAGGCGTGAGCCACTGTGACCAACTTTTTTTTTTTTTTTTAAAGATATGGGGTCTCGCTATGTTGCCCAGGCTGAAGTGCAGTGGCTATTCACAGATGCGATCCCGCTACTGATCAGCACGGGAGTTTTGACCTGTTCCATGTCCGACCTGGGCCGGTTCACCCCTCCTTAGGCACCTGGTTGGCCCCTGCTCCCAGGAGGTCACCATATTGACGCCGAACTTAGTTTGGACACCAGATCAGCATAGCGCACTACAGCCCAGAACTCCTGGGCTCACGCGATCCTCCAGCCTCAGCCTCCCGAGTAGCCGGGACTACAGGCACGTGCCACTGCACCCAGTAACCAGCACTCTTGAGATCTGAAGATTGTCGTAACAAGGAAAGTCTGAGACACTGTGGCAACCAAGATCCTTCATTACATGATGACTAAATGTCACCTGGTATCCTGAATGGGATCCTGAAATAGAAACAGGACACTAGGAAGAGCTATGGAAATCGATGTATGTAAATACATGCAAATAAATGCAAATGATGTAAATGAATGTAAATGGCATGTAAATAAATGTTATATGGGATCCCAGATGAGATCCTTGAACAGAAAAAGGCCATTAGATAAAAACTGTGTGGCTGGGCATGGTGGCTCACACCTGTAGGTCCAGCACTTTGGGAGGCTGAGGCAGGAGAACACCTGACTTGAGGTCAGGAGTTCCGGACCAGCTTGAGCGACATGGTGAAATCTCGTCTCTACTAAAAACACAAAAATTAGTCGGGCATGGTGGCGGGCGCCTGTAGTCGCAGCTACTCAGGAGACTGAGGCAGGAGAATTACTTGAACACGGGAGGCAGAGGTTGCAGTGAGCCGAGATCACGCCATTGCACTCCAGCCTGGGTGAAAGAGCCGGACTCTGTCTTAGAAAAGCAAACCAAAAATCCTGTGGCAATCCATATAAAACATACACTTCAGTTAACAATATTGTACCAATATTGATATCAACCTTGTTTCATTAACTGAAACAAACGGCCAGTATCAACGTAAAATGTTAATAGTGGGAGAAAGAGCATGGCGATATACAGAACTCTCTATTGTCTTCTCAATTTTTCTATAAATCTGAAACTGTTCTTAAAAATAAACACTGTAGGAGCCAGGCAAAATGGCTCACTCCTGTAATCCCAGCACTTTGGGAGACTGAGGCGGGTGGATCACAAGGTCAGGAGTTCGAGACCAGTCTGGCCAACATAGTGAAACCCTGTCTCCTCTAACAATACAAAAAAAATTAGCCCAGCGTGGTGGCGTACACGTGTAATCCTAACTACTCAGGAGGCCGAGGCAGGAGAATCACTTGAACCCAGGAATCAGAGGTTGCAGGGAGCACCATTGCACTCCAGCCCAGTCAACAGTGTGAGACTCCATCTCAAAAAAATAAAAAATAATAATTTTTAAAAAGGCTGTAGGCCGGGTGCAGCAGCTCACACCTGTAATCCCAGCACTTTAAGAGGCCTAGGCGAGCAGATAACCTGAGATCAGGAGTTCGAGACCAGCTTGGCCAACATGGCGAAACCCTGTATCTACTTAAAATACAAAAGTGTTAGCTGGGCGTGGTGGCAGGTGTCTGTAATTTCAGCTACTCAGGAGGCTGAGGCAGGAGAATTGCTTGCACCTGGGAGAATGAAGTTGCAGAGAGCAGAGATCCCACCACTGCACTCCAGCTTGGGCGACAGAGCCAGGTTGGCAAAAGAGCCACACTTCCCAACTACCCCCTGGCTCTCTGGCCAGCCCCTTTCCACCTGCCTAAGCCCCTCCCTTGGGAAATGCACCACCACACCCGGCTAATTTTTATATTTTTAGTAGAACTTAGGGTTCTCCATGTTGGTCAGGCTGGTCTCAAACTCCTGACCTCAGGTGATCTGCCTGCCTCGGCCTCCCAAAGTGCTGGGATTGCAGGTGTAAGTCATGTCGCCCGGCCTCGTGTTGAAATTTGATCCCCAGCGTTAGAGTTGGAGCTGGTGAGAAGCATTTGAGTGCTGGGGGCAGATCCCACATGAAGTGCTTGGTGCCATTCTTGCAGAAGGGAGTGAGTTCTCACTCTTAGTTCCTGCAAGAACTGGTTGTTGGAAACAGCCTGACACCTCTTCCCCTACTGCCTGCCAACTCTCTCTGCCTTCTTCTCTCATGTGGGATCTGCAAACAGCTGCTCCCTTTGGAAACTTCCTGAGTTTCTCACCATAAACAGATGCTGACTGGGTGAGGTGGCTTAGGCCTGTGATCCCAAAGCTTTGGGAGGCCAAGGTGGGGAGGATTACTTGAGCCCAGAAGGTCAAGACCAGCCTGAGCAACACAGCAAGATTCCATCTCTAAAAAAAAAAAAGAAAAGTAAAACAATTTTCTAAATTAGCCAGATGTAATGGTGCACACCTGTAGTTCCAGTTCCTTGGGAGGCTGAGGTGGGAGGATCGCTTGAGCCAAGGAGTTGGAGACAGGGGTGAGCTAGGATCTCACTACTGCACTCCCACTGGGCTGCAGAGTGAGACCTTGTCTCTCATAAAGAAGCATGTTTCAGGTCGAGCGCGGTGGCTCATGCCTGTAATCCCAGTACTTTGGGAGGCTGAAGCAGGCAGACCACGAGGTTAGGAGTTCAAGACCAGCCTAACCAACATGGTGAAACCCCGTCTCTACTAAAAATACAAATAATTAGACAGGTGTGGTGGC